TGCTGGTCCCTGTCCCCTCCCCGGACCCCCTGCCACCCCCCCAGACCCTCACCATAGCAGGGCTGGGTCGCTGCTCTGGCGACTGAGGTGGTAGGAGGACGCGACGAGGAGCCCACAGAAGACAGAGAAGAGGAGAGGGACCTGCTGCTCCCCCCACGGTGCCTGTGGTGTTGGGGGGGGCATCAGGGGGGGCCCACGGGCACCCCACCAGCCCCACAGGCAACCATACAACCCCCCTGGGGCCCACAGGAACCCCACAAGCCACCCCAGGGACCCCAAAAGCCTCATAGGCTGGTTGGAGACCCCCCCACCCAGCAGGTTTGAACCCCCCAAGGACAGCATGAGCCTCCCCAGGACCAGTCAGGGCCCCCCCCAGGGGCAGATTCAAACCCCACAGAGACCCCGGGGCACCTCAGGGACCCCCAGGCAGATCAGGGACACCCCCCCCGGGACAAGTTGAGACTCCTTGGGGCAAGCCAGGGACCCCCCTGGGGACCCCATGGCAGGTCAAGGACACCCCCCAGGGACCTCTGGGGCAGATCAAGAACCCCTGGGGCAGATTGAGACCCCCCCCCATGTCAGATCAGGGACACCCCCCAGGGCAGATCAGGGACCCCCTGGGGCCCTCCAGGATAGATCGAGACCCCCTGGAGGAGATCAGGGCCCCCCCCAGGGACCCAATGGCACATCAAGGACCCCCAGGGCAGGTCAAGGAACCCCTGGGGACCCTCCCAGAGCCCCCCCCCGCACCTGGATGGCCCCCAGGCAGAAGCCGTAGAGCGCAGCAGCGACCAGAAGGCTGCGGGCCAGCCCGTACAGAGCAGCCAGGGGACTGGTGGCGGCTGCGAGGTGGGGAGAAAGAGGTGAGTGAGACCCCCCCCCGCTGAAATGGGGTATGGGGGGGGTCCCCAGACCCTCGGGGGGGGGAGTCCAAACCCTACCAGTGCCACCGAAGACGTGCATGTCGACCTGCTCCAGCAGGTACATCAGGCAGGTGTTGACCTGGGGCAGCAGCCCCAGCAGGAAGACCAGAGGGAAGCAGAGGGTGAACACTACAGGGGGGGGCACCAAAATTA